TCAGTTGGTGAGATGAATGTGTCTTGTGTACATGAAAATAAAATGGTTAGAGCTGTAAGTTACACCCTTTTCTCAGCCTATCGCATCAATGTTTCATGTCATCGTGTCTTCTGCAGTGTGATGACTGAGTACACAGGCGTAAAAATAGGACTGTTGAAAACCTCATTTACCACTGCATACTTACATTTTTGGTGGCTTCAATACAGACACAGCCTCTTCCAGCCTCGCAGAGCAAATAGATGTTAAAGGAAATAATCATACGATGAACTAATTATTATTCTAACAAAATATTCTTTTTTCTCATGAAATATTACTATTTGCATATGTACATATGTACATATGTACATATATATATGAGAAAGACAGGCACTGCAACAGCTGACATGACCAGTCAAAGCAGATTCACACTACAAGATAACGTTTCTTCCTGCTCTTTCTCTGTGATGTTCTGTGATAGTCACTAATGAACACGTTTAGATGAAAATAAAAATAAATAGTTGTAAGTTATGTCCTTTTTTCAGTCCACATAGACTGTGGATGGTGGTTTAGTTATTTGTGGTGAAGCAGTACAGAAAACTGCTTACCCCAATTTTTCACACAAAGCACTGAAGAAAGCAGAACTAAAGGGTTGTGCAGTGTTGCTGACTTATAGGTCTTCCAACCTCCCATAAGTCATATTTAGCCATAATACTGAAATACCATTTGAAGTTTTTGATCTTTATTTGTAAATTATCTAATCCTGTCTGCTGAAACAAGACTTCTGTACAGCCATTTTAGTGCAATTTCTGATTGTGTACTTTGTGCTGTGAGCTAAATGCTAATGCTGAATATTAAAATTTTTTTTTAGAGTGCATACAATGCAGAAGAAAAAGAAAAAAGAAATATTTCTAATCTGTGTATATAATTAGCTATTTTTTAAATGAAAGTGAAACTTTTAAAAAATTTGTCTCATAAGACAAATATTAGATTTACATATGAACAAGTAAACATGTTAAAATGAGAAAAATCAAAATAGAACCACTTTTTATATGTAAAACAGATTACGAGACATACACTGTAATTTTGATAAGACTTCAATTTAAATTTAAAATTTAAATCATTGTCAGTGTTACCATATGTTTCTTGAATAAGCCATAGATGGTGAATATTCTACATGACTCATGGCATTCAGTGGACACTGACACTGAGGGGCACCTCAATGACACCTACATACACATTTAATTTTGTGTAATATACTAGGATATTTCTAATTAGTGCTATTTAGAATAGAATAGAATAGAATAGCCCTTGTCATTGTACATGTGTAGCAATCTTTTTGCATTTATTAGAGCTATTTTGTTATATTTTGTAACTTTGTATTATTTTGTTTAATATAGTTACAGTTAAAGTTCTTACTGTCTTGAGACAATTGTGACCACATAATTTCCTCTAAGATTAATACAATATTGTGATTCTGCTTCTTGTATTAAAATAAAGTCGCTAATGGCAGTAAGAGTATTGTTCTCCAACAGTCTTTCTCCAGCACACCAGCACTGTACCTTCCACAGTCGAAATGCCTGGAAAAACTTCAACACAAATTACCGGTAAACCTGTTAAAGATGTCTTTCAGTATGAACTGCTGTTGATTAATATGTACCTACTCCAAAAGTAATGTTTAATTTTTGGAATGGAATGAATGTAAGTCATTCAAAATGATCCTGAGAGTCAAAAACAGCTGTAGGTGAGCACACCAGAAATAAAATAACTATGATAAAATGTAAAAATATTGATAAAAAGAAAATATGAGCCCACAGTTCTGCATTTATGTACTTGAAAGTGTAATGTTTCTGTTTTGTTTCCTGCTTTTCAGATGCAGGACACTATGTGGGTTACACTGTTCCTCCCCTGCTGCTGCTACTGATATGCGTCTTTGCAGTTATAGTTTATAAGTGCAAACATCAGAAAGCAAAAGGTACATTTTGGATTCACTGGCATGCAAAAATGTACTCAAATGTGCATCTGTAAAGAGCATAACCATGTTTTACGCTTTG